TTATTTTTATTTAGATGGAACAATCCCAATCGAATGTTATGAAGGACACAAACTATAAAGTATAGAAACATAATCCAAATTTCGTCTACATTGGTGTTAAAATCTTCTACTACTGTTAACACACTTATGAATGATACTTTTGAATTATGAACATTATTTTTTAAAATAAATTTTCAATTTTTTCTTTTTTAAAAAAATAAAAGTTCCTGTTTATTTGGAAAATAAAAATATTTATTTACGAAAATTATTAGTATGATAATCTATATCCGGATAGTTTTTTTTTATTTTCTGAAAAGTTTTCACGGATTTGCGGATATATTAAGGATATCAATTGACAATGTTTTATACACTAAAACTACGTAAACTACTAAATTATGTTTACTCAAAAAAGTTGAAGGTTCTAAATGAAAAAAATTAATTTTTAACTTGAAATTTATTTTTTATTTAAATATCATGAAGCGCACCAACAATTGACTTTACATACGAAAATAGGAATATATTATTTATCTAAATTACCATAATGACTTCTCTGATTTACTAATTCGAATATCATCATACCGTTTATGATGTTAACTTAACTTGTATCTTCTTTAACACGTGCTTATAGTGAATATCAAGTTGAGATTAACAATTAATCAACGCGATAACTCTGTTTGATGCTCATCACTAATTGATTCCAAATGTGAATAATTCTTTCAAACTTCATTAACCAACCTGTCGTATCTTTCCATGATGTTATACGAAATTGAATCAGAATTTCTTTTATATCTATCATTTTTATTATGAACTTAACTTTAATTATTCTCTTGCAATTGTTTAATGTAATTTTAATAGCAGATAACCCAAATTATTGCGATAATGAATCAATGAAAAATTGCTACTACTTTAAATGCATTATCTATTCTATTTTTGTAAAAAAAATCAATTATAATAGTGTGATTTTATAGAATGTTTATTTTGTTTTATAGTAGCTTTGGTGATAGAGTATTATCAGAAGTATTTGTTGTTTCGCAAACTATAATGGGATGCGATCAGAATTACAATTTAAGTTATCTCGTATTTGTCTGCATAATATTGCATATAGACCTACGTTGTGTTTAACAAATGTAATGTTTTTGAAAAAATCTTTGAAAAGACAAAAAGAAATACGCAATACCATCTATATTCGTAATGAACCTGTTAAAAACTTGTGAATTTTGAATTATTTAATGAATGTAATATAGGAATTTGAAAAGTGAAAGTTCGTTATTTTCACTGAGACGAGGTAAAATTTATTAGATATCTAATTTTTATGACATTCGATCTAGTATTTTAGTTGGCGCGAATAGGTTTCAACATTAATTTTTAAGGAAAATTTTTTTTTTTTGTAATAATATAATAGTTAGTAGTTATAGTAAAAAATTCAAATAAAAAAATACTTTGAGTTGATAGTAATTTGCCTCGGAGGTCAAGAATTAGCTGGGCACATTCTAATGCTAAATTTTGATAATTTTAACTTTTACATATATATTTTTTTAAAAATATATTATGGTAGCGGGAGCAGTAATTTTTACAAATATTAAATACTTTCTTATATTTATTTACATTATAATTCAACCTGGATCAAATAATGTATTAAGATGTATTATAATTGTGGTGAGGAGTGAAATAGATATATATTTCTTTTTCGTATTTATGATAATTTATTTAATAATGTAGAGTTCTAATCATCATTTGTAAAATCATTAAAGAGCCTTTAAATTATTATTATTTTTGAATTACTTGAAACACTTCCAATAGTTTTTTTTGTACTATGCATAATAATGCTCACTCCAGGATATGTTATGACACTACGCTTCTAGTTTTATCATTCATAATGGCCAAATCAAGTCTTTTGCCAAAGGCAGTTCCAAATGTGAACGAATATATAAAGCATTTTGTTGTAATTGAATAATTTTTGCTACTCTTGCTACTCTTACAATGCATCCTGAATTAATATCTTCTTTATTTGTAAAAGAAAATTAAAGTGTCTGATGAGAAACCCCAACTACCTATATAACTATGTTCTCAACTTAATGGATTATAACCTCTAATTAGTTTATGTACTTTTGGAATCATAATAGTTGACCCTTTGTTATAACATAACTCATGAAAATGTTTTCCTGCAAACCCATCTCTACTGGCACGATATAGAAGTTTAAATAGTTTAAATGAATAAGGAAGATTTCTAGAACCATAAAAGTAATTTTCTTTTTTACCAATCCAACATACAATTATCATTAAATGGTTGGTCTTTTTCAATAAGAACCACATTAAAGGATATATTACTCCTTTGAGGAAAAATTAAAGTATTAGGTGGTGTATCAGGATCAAAATGATATCCGATAATATCCTTATATAATTGTTTGGGAAAAACTGGTTCAAATGGACTAATTTTCTGCAAAAATGTTTTAGCAGAAATCTAAAACCATCTAATGTGTGGAAGAATGTCATGAAGAATTTTTCCAACAATTCAAAGTCATTTGATGTCCTTTATTGATATCTGATGAAGTAGGCAATTTTTAAATACCTACCCCATTTGAGAATATAATCCCAAAAATAAATTTCTCCAATTTTAAAGCTCATCATTTTTCAAAAGACAAATAATCTGGTAAGATTCTAGTGTTATAAATTCAGGAGATTTAAAAAGTACTTCAGGATTTTTACAAATGATTTCTGAGCAATAATTACTTAAGGATTCAAAACATTCCCAACCACGTTCATTATTAAATACTCTGCTATTGATCTTAAAATGTTGAATAGAATCACTCAATTGCGATCAAAAGTTTTAACACTTGATTTCCATTTAGATTACTTAAATTAATAATTCCAGTATAGAGAAACTTTAAAATCAATTCGAAAATTTCCGGAGAAACATTTGGTTTTTTAAAAAAAATAATTCCATTCTCTTTTTTTGCTCATTCACTTGACAAAGCGGATTTAAAATTAATGAGTGCGCAAAGAATTCTTTTATATTTTTAACATCATAATTATCTTCATTAGAGAGAAGTTTACCAAATAAAAAGTTTTTCTCCATAATTTTTAGTTTAACGTCTTTAAGCATAAATAAATTCAGAATTTTATCGAAAAATTCAGGTCATGTGATCCTTTATGCAGAATTAAATTCACTACTGCGGATGGGCGCATGTTTTTATTTTAATAATTTAAGCACACTTTTTGATTTAGAAAAATTCTTCATTCAATTAGAAGCCAAATTTCCTATAAACTTTAAAAAAAATATTAATTTTTATATTAATTTTAAAATTATTTATATTATTTTTTTTTTTAAAAAATATATACAGTATATATATATTCGTATGGGCGTTGGAATATTAAATCATGGAGAAATCCCTAAATATTAAAGTCGTAGAAAAAGTAAATGTGAACGTCCATTGATAACCCTTTCACATCGAACCTTCAAAACCCAGAATGAGTTTAGATAGAAAAAATTCGATTGCATGTTCTCCAAGTTTTTCAAGCAAAATCTTGATAAATTTGTTACAAAAAACTTACTTCGCTAGTAATATTTCAATAATATAAATAATTACATGGTCGTATATAACTATTACACTACGGAGAGATTTATTTAAACTATGATCGTGATATTACAATTTAAACTATTAATAAATATTTAATAGTATTTTAAATGTAAAATTATTAAATGTATATAAAAACAGTATAATTGCGAAGTTGAATGTAATAGTTCTAATATATATATACATGTATTATTAAATATGCATAGCGTCTAAAGAATTTATAAACGAATATCTTTGATATAATCACATTCATATAGACCAACACATAATAACGAAATTAAATTTACTAAAGTTTCATTAAATTCAATCTGTTGTTACTTCCTGTTTATGATGATTTATTTATTTCTTATTTATTGTTGGATTGCTTCTTGCTCATTTTTTATATAAATTGATCTAGCAACATTTGCGCTTGTGTGTATGATGTAACATTAAAGGATAAATATTGCAAAAGAAAAAATAAAGTAAATGATAATTATGATAGTAAAGAATATAAATATATATAATAATCAGTGGGCCGACCGTTACTCTAAATAATTTTATTAATTTTGTTTTTCGCATTTCATTATTATAAGAATATCTTTTTTTTTTTTTAGGAAATAGGTCAAACTTATTTATAAACAATAATGATTTTATAATTGGAATATAAAATTCGGCGATTATAGTATTTAATAATTTTAAAAAATAAAATTTAATTGGATTTTGAATTTATTTTTCACGTCATTATTAATAAAGAAAAATTACGAGTATTGTAAAAATAAGCTTTTTTTTTGACTACACTTCGACGAAACTCGAGCATTCATCAATTATCGACGTAATTGTTTATTTTGTCCGCAGTGAGATTTTTTTGAAATATAAATAATTGTGACCCCAATGGACTGTCAACGCTATATCGTTTTATCATATCACGATTATAAGCAGAAGATGTGATAAAGGCATTATAGTGAATCTTAAGAGGTTGATTACAAAGTGTACTATCTCTTAAAAAAACCCGGCCACACGGTTTCGCAAAATTTTTTACATTTAAATGTATTTTTAAAAAATGAGCTTAGCTAGCAGCATGTCCTCCTTTATAATGTAGACAGAATAAAGAGTATAACATTAGCAAGTGACATGGGCCTTAGGCAGGAGGTAATTGAGGTAATTTATAAGTACAATTTTGTAGCTTGCTTGTTCAAAATGCAAGATAAGTTTTAACAAATACAACATTAAAAATAAATCGAATCTTCCAAACTACGAATATTAATAAATCTCAAATAATGAAATAATGTAATGATCTACGCGTCGCGTTTCAAATGCAGTAAGTAGTAAAAAATTCGTCACGCCTAAATTGATCTTTGCTTATTACACACACTCATGCATAGTTACCAAATATAGCAAAATACATGTATATATAAATATCATCCGCACGTTGTCTCACGCGCTCATTTTTTACTAAAACTCGTAAATATGTCAGAAGAAGAAATTAAAGATTTTATAAAGTCGTCCGTAAATTGGACTGAAATGAAGAAGTGGATAGCTGAAGGAATGCCGTATGAAGAACATGACGAAGTCTTGATGTTTTTGAACCAAGAGAAGAAAAGTGAAAATGGCCTTAACTCAGGACCAAATGGCAAGTCTACTGATTACTAAATTTTTATGTGTTTATGGATAAATAAAATTCGAACTTATGATGCTTTCCTTTTTTAAGGAGCCGGACAATATAAAGCTGACGGAAAAAGAAAACAAACTAATGGAAAAATTTCTAACCAAAGTGCCAGGAAGACCGATAAAAAAGCCAGGAAAGAAAGCCATATTAATTCTGCCACAAAAGGAACCAAAACCCCGTCAGTAACGACGGTAAACATTGTAGTGAAGTTCCTAGACCAAGACAAGTTTCCGATCCTCTCGGGCTACACTACGCAAATGCTACAAGATTTGAATAACGATGGATTAATAAACGACGTAATTGGACTCAATATTAAAGGGAAAATTAGAGAATTTAATCAAAATCAAACAAGTATCAAACCTGCTGTTCGTACTTACGACATCGTACCTAAATGTTCGTACATGTACGCGCTTCTTTTACCAAATAATCATTACTTGATGTTGAGACATCTTTGCGGTAGATGGTTTAGATGTGTGGCGTATTTTTCTAACCACGATCACTATACAAATTTTCTTAATATTTTCTATACTAATATAAATGCAGAAAGTATTAATACTTTATAATAACGCTTTTTTTATAGTTATACAGAAAATTCTTTACAATATATATATTCATGCAGTGTGCTTAACCAAATATTAATAAAAAGTTCATCTACTATCTCTCATAAGCATTATGAAATAATAATGTTATATGTTGAACATGTCGTGAGGAACTGATGAGTATGTTACCGCTTACTTTTTTTTACTTGTAGGATATTTTGAAATGGATGTGTGTCTACTTTGAGAGATATAGATTATAATTTCATTTTCACAATTATTTTTAGATCTATCATTTGAAGCAATTAACAAAATTTTTCTCCTTCCAATAATCATTTCATAATGCAAGCGGGTGCTTCAATTCTACGGATGATTTCCGATACTTAATGAAATAGAACAATACTTGAATATTGTGAGATTTTATTCTAAAAATGTCGAAAGCTTTAAATAGGTTATGAAACGGAACATGCAGCTACACAAGTAATTGAAATCCAAAGAAATCTGAACTACCTGATTTTCCGACTTTTGATTTTTATTTTAAAAAAAATTGTTGAGCTCGTTTTAAACAATTTTTTTTGATTCAACTAAGAAAGTTGATTTTATAGATTATGTTATTAAACTTTAGCATTGATGTTCGTAAACTTACTTATGTAAGTATTCACACGATCAATATAATATTCATTTAAAAACAAATTTACTTCTTCTCTCCAACTCTATTTAATATAAATGTAGGAACGAACATTATTAATATTCGATACGCTTTTCTATACTTTTGGATAACAAAATGATACAGCAATTATTTTATTTAATGATGAATATTTTCATTATTAGGATATATTACATGATAAATTTTCTCAAAATTGATAAGCCGAATTTCCTTGCTTTTTCAAGTCAACAAACACTTATTTACTTTATTTTAGTTCGTCCGATGTATAATTTATATAGTATTTAATTATTACGATTGCTAGTGTAGTTAGTTATCGCATCAAAACCTTTATGAAGACACGAAGAAGATTGAAAGGTAAAATAAAAAACTTTATTAATTTGGAATTCTATAAGCCTTTGCTTTAGACTTATCATTACAAACATGGAATAGTCTAATTAAATCTTTTGAGAGAAACTTTTACAACTTGCAACTTTCTCTGTTTTCTCTAGATTGAATTCCCGATCTATTTATACAAAATCGTTGTTTTAATTTACTAGCAGACATAATAAATTTAACAAATAAAACTAATGTAACAGAAATAATAAATAAAACAAATATAACAAATAAAACAGATAAATAAAATAAATAAGATATGTAAAACATATTTGATATGTCTGCTATAGCAAACATATTTGATATGCATCGCAGTTTCTGCGCCAATCGTAGCGTTGATCGGGTTAACTGATGAGTTACACCCATTCACAATTACCCGGATTCTAAGATCACGACCTGGATATCTGGCCCGTGGGTAATTGGTTGCACCCGACCCGAGTCCAATCCCTAGATTAAATTATTAGAGCTTGTTACAAAAAATAAATTAAACAATTGATACATATCTTTTTGTTTGTTTTTACAGATTCATTTGCAGAAATACATTAAAATGTCAGCTAAAAAGTAAATATTATTAATTTGATTTAAAACAATCCTTTTTGAAAATATAGTATCTTTAATCATTCATCTCTGGAAATTCATCAGATCCACATCCATTATCTTTCGTAAACCTCTTTTACGCACTTCATCGACATTAACATGATAATGACTAAAAAATTTGGACGGATGATATTGTAATTAAAGATCGAAGGCAATGTATAAAAATACATACATTACATCAGGAAACCAGGATTAGTGCTCCGAGCTGGTCGAATCGACCCGGGTCATTTGACCCGACTCGAGAAAAAATTCGAGTCGGGACTATCATTTTATGTCACGAGT